GAAAGAGAGAGAGACTAGAGAGAGATCAGAGAAAGATCAGAGAAAGAGAGATCAGAAAGAGAGAGAGAGAGCGCATTTTGGAAGGGAAGGGAGTTGTTGATACGTGGCAGGCGGGAAGCCCATTGACACCATGGGAATGAACTTCGCCCCGCAGGGCCCTCGCACGGGCACGGGTGCCATGTTCCTTCATTTTCCGAAGGCGCAAGCCATCCCAGCCGTTGCGCATCACCAACCCCAACACTGGGGAGGTGCGAAAGTTCTGAAAGTGTTGAAAGTTGCGAAAGCCAACCGATTTGTCTGCAAGACTGCAGGCTGTGAACATCGAGGGTGCCCAGTGTCTTTGCCCAAGTGTCCAGCATCCCACCTTGCCCACGTGCAAATTTCGAGACTTGTCCTGAGGACTTGCTCGCTAGGGAACAGGCCTACAGCGTTTGAAGCGGCATTTGCATCATGCACTTGCCGGCTGTTTACATAAGACCAAGACTACCGTCCCCAGCGAAACCATCCGAGATCCACACTTGATGTCCTGCTGTGATGTTTAGCCACTGGGATGGTGGTGAGGCTATCAAGGCTTATTATGTGTGAAAGTTTCTTTGGGTGACAGCGCCCAACATCCGCCGGCATAGGTTTGGCGCTTCAAACTTTGTTGTTTCTAGCTGGCCTATCGCGGCTTCCAAATCCAAAGGCTTCCAAAAAACCTCAGCACGATTTGGGCATAGTTTCTCACTTTGAGGCCAGGGCTTGCGCCGGGTTCGCCTGCGAGCAATGCCTCGGGGCGTCTCTTTTTCATCGGGCCCCGTGGCCCCCGCGTGGCAAGCCGCGCGGCCCAGCCGCGCTTCGCTTTGTACAAAACCGGGAAAAACCGACGAAAGCACCTGAGAGAGAGCAAGGAGATGCGAGGAAAGAGATGTGCGCTTGCGATGCTTTCAGGTTAGATGGAAAGAGCCGAAGCAAGACTTTTGCCGAATGCTCAGTGAGTGAGAGGCAAAGACCAGACTGGGAGTCGCCAAAGTTTGCAGGCCGAAATCCTTACAATGCCGGAAGCTTGGCTCATGCGCTCATGCGCTCATGCGTGGGTCGGCGCATGCGCGCATGCGCGCGAGCAATTGGAAGCCATTGCGCCTCACGGCTTCTCTGCTTTTTCGAGGTGACGGGGCTTTGCAACAAGACGTCTTGCCCTCTTGCGAACAGTCAGTAGCTGGGCTGTCAGAGTGCAGCACGGATGAGGGCACAAGAGAGACGATGGCTACGCGCCCTGAGCTCTCAGGTATGCCACGATCATTGAGGAGGAAGGCATCAATTATCTCTACATGAAGACAGCTCTGAGCTTGGACAGCGGCTTGTTACATGATCACTTTTGACGGGCACAGGTGGAGAGAGCTCACTCGCCGAAGAATCTCTGGGAGAGAGTGAAGCTGTCCAGGATCTTGCATTTGCGTCTTTGTCACTTTTGCGCGTTTTGCAACTTTTGGATGTGCATGTGCGCTTTTGCAACATTCTGCACCCCTTGCAACGTGTATCGCGACTTTGGGCCCTCAGCTTGGCTCCTGGTCCCACCCAGAGGGTGTCGGACCAGCGCCCAGGCCGGTGTCGGACCAGCGCCCAGGCCGGTTTCGGGTCGTTTCGGGTCGCTTCGGGCGGCGCGGTTGAGACCGAGATGTCCTAGGCGCGATGACGAGCATTGATAAGGACACAAGCGCCTCCGCGCTACGGGGCGCTACGGGGCGCGTCGCGGCATCACAACACACTGTTGACACAATTGTGCATGACAATCCATGTGCATCTGTGCCAGCGCGTTTGGCATTGACGGCGAGGACAGCTTTAGACTAAGCGCACTTGGGCGCCAAGCCCAGAGTCAGCGAGCCTCGGCAGCTCACCACTCCATCTCGTGTGTAAGCCGAGATGCGCGTCAGCTGCCTGGCAATTGGAACAGTCATTTTCCTCTTTTTGGAGCGGAGCATTGGACTGTTTTTCTTGTTTTCGAGTTGTTTTATTTCTGGTTTCTTCTTTTGCTCGAGGAATGTCTTCATCACTGAGAGTCACATCCGCCCAAATCGCCTTGGGCGGGAATCCCCCAAGATGGACACCATCAACCTTCCATCGACACTGGACACCAATCTGCCCCTTGGACGCAACCGATTCTGTGGTACATATGCTTGGGTTGAGAATGGCCCTCTGCGTCACACAGGGCAACAACCACGGGCCTTGGCTATGGAGGAAGATCAGATTTCACTGCGCAGAAGGTGGATCCGGAAAGCAGCTCAGCTATCTCTCTGCATGTGGCTTATCGCTGTCACAGTTAGGCTGACGCACGTTGAAATGAGGCATTCCTACCAACGATGCAATGAACCTCATGCCTGACGGCCAGCAGTTCAAGTACAAGCGCGAGCCCAAAATTGTGATTGGCACGGCTCCCTGGCTTCAGAACAGGCTGACTCCGTCAGCCCCCCACTTCCCCACTTCCCCACTTGCTCACTTGCAAAGGAACAAAAGGCAACGTCAGGCGCGCACCAGCGCGCGCACACGTCGCGCTTTGCCGGCGCCACACTCGCCCGACGCATGAGCGCACGCGCAGGCACGCAGACGAGCAGACAAGCAGCCGCGCAGGCACGCGCACACCCGTCCGGCCGCCCACCCACACACAATCACTCACCTCCCTGAGTCCCGTACCGGCGCAACTAATCTTTGAGGAGAAGATATCCACTGTGGCAGCAGTGTCGATGTCCCTGGATTTGTTTCTGGCAAGAACCGGATGTCTGATGAGTTCGGTTGTGCTGGAAGTCCCTGGCATATGGATTGTAAGTGCGTATAATGGGAGCTACTGCAGCGAGCTCTTTTTTTTGTGGCAACTGTAAAGTCTATCGGTTTGAAAACGGGCCCTGAGCCAGCATGTATACCCGACGCAAGTGAACCGGAACAGAGCCGACACATCTTTTTCTTCGGTAGCCAGATTTTATATACGCCGTAGTCATTGAGAAATACTTAGATCGATTTCGAACATATCAAAGAGGTCACTCTTTTTTGTGACTTGGACACGTTGGATTTGTCTGGTCTCCACATGGTTTGTGCAAACTGAGTGCAGCTGTATTGTACTTCGCGCACGAGAAACGGCAAGCAAAAGTTGACACCTAATCATGTCAAATGGTTCTGCATCTTATGAGGCTTGAAGATGCATTGGAAGATGCATTGGCTTGAAAAAGGCACAGGCTGACGTGTCCTTGTGACTCACTCACTTCAGCAGAAGATAGTCTTGTAGACGATGTCTGCGTTGAGGAGGCGGACCAAATATGCTGGTTTTCAGCGCCACTGCTGTTGGTGGTAGTAGTTCTTGCTGTAAATTCACAAAGAACCGTCCTTTCTCCAGCTACGAAGATACATGGACAGCATCACCAAATACTACGAGGAGGGCCAACAAGGATCGCCCAATTTTCCGTTACAGGACCGGTTGATAATGGAGATCCAGGCTCCTTCTACGGTTTCTATCGCAGTTGCGTGATCCCTGACTAAATGCGACACATCATCGGAGTATGATTTCCGCAAAGTGATTGTGGATGTGTCTCTGGGATTGTCGTTCATGCTCCGGCCTTCAACATGGCTTGCAGTGAACTTGGAATGGTCGCACGAGCAAGCGTGAAACCTCAGCTGCTCTCCGACCATTTGTTGCTGATACGGAAGAAGTGCTTGCAGGTTAAGGTACATATGCCTGATCTTTACCGAATGTGACGTTTGACGCATATCCGGCCTCCTAGCATCAAACCTCGCACGGAAATACATGGAACTAGGGTGTCCCAAAACGAGGCCGCGATAGCGGAATATGTACCCCTGTATCTATTCTCGATGTAGATGTCCTCGTTCAAACGAATGGCAACACCCAGTGAAGATATCTCAGCTGTAGATCAGAGAGCGCGCGCGGCCAGACTGTTTACCAGTGCCAACGTGTGGTAAGAAACCCTATGGGAAACCACCCGCCACCCCGCAACAACCGCAGCCCAGCAACCAACCCACTTCCACCCACCACACCCCCCACACACCATCACCCACCACTCACCATACCACCACTCACCCCCTCACCCACTCACCACCCTCACACCTCCCCCCCTCCCACCCCCCCCAACCCCCATCAACCCCCCCACCACACCACCCACACCACCCCCAACCACCACCACCCCCCACCCACCACCCACCACCACCACCCCACCACCCACACCACCCACCACCCCCCACACCACCCACCCACACCACCCACCCACCACCCCACACCCCACCACCACCCCCACCACCACACCACCCACCCACCACCCCCACCCACCACCCACCCACCACCCACCACCCCCCCACACCACACCCCCCCACCCACACACCCACCCACGACCCACCACCCACCCACCACCCCACCCACCCACCACCACCCACCCACCACCACCCCCCACCACCCACCCCACCCACCCACCCACACCCACCACCCACCCACAACCCACCCACCCACCCACCCACCACCCACCCACCCACCCACCCACCCACTCATCAACAAGTCACGCGTGCGTGCAAACGCGTGCGCAAGTAAAGACGCAACGGCAGCGCGAGCTCACGCTTGCTCGCTCATTTTTTTGCGCAAGTTCACAGAGCTCGGCTGCTCACGCATGCGCACAGGCATGCGGGCATGCATGTGGTGCGCAAGAAGCAACATTCCCACTACTGCAGATTTGCTTTGCGAGATCAGGAGCCCCGCTTCAGCCTCAAGGAGTCAACGTTGCTGAAGACTCATAAGGCCGCCTTTTTTGGCCGCACTTCACCCGGTCCCGCGGGTGTCGGGGACAAGCGCCTCGTCATTTGCAACATGCCTTGAGCTGAGGTTTGTCCGTGGTTGGCCTTGAGCTGAGGTTTGGCCCAAATTTCGAGGCCACAAAGCAACGCATGGCGCCCGCCATGCCCTTCGCCCATAAGACCAAGCTAGTTTGGCCCGGTGTCTACAACAACCCACCCGAGGCCCTTGGCTCAGGGCTTTTGGGGCTTTTGGCATGTGTGTTCGGTTGCCATCAGATGTGCCATCAGGTTGGTCCCGGCACCTTTGAGCGCAAGGACAAAGCGTCGCCTAAGCGTCGCCTTTCACGACTTCTGCAGCATTTGTGCTTCGTCCTGTTGCAGATTTGCCAGGACGCAGCCATTGGGCAGCAGCACCTGAGCAAGCGTCGGAATCAATCAACCCACGCGTTTGCCAAGGGGCCGAAGTTTGGTCGTGCGCCGGAGATGCTTGGCCTGAAGCGTGACAGCGTGACACATTCTCCTGTTTAAATTATTTACGAACGTTTTTCCTTCGCGTGCGAGCGTGTGCAACGCAAGCGTTAGCGTCGGTTTGATCGAACGCAAGCATTCCCAGGTCTGATGACCCCATCTCCAAGTACGATGCTGCGCGCAGCTGTTTCGGCAAGCAAGTGCTTCATAAGAACCGCAGCGCGCCAAGCGTGGGTGATGGCCTTACACCGCAAGTCTTACTGTGAGACTCTCTGAGAGCGCACAGAGCGCATCGAGCGCGTCGCAGCTTTGAGGATTCAATCACGACACTCGAGATATGCGATCCAAGACCAAGTTGTGCATCACGACGCTCGATCGAGAAGTGCCACTCGTGCCACTCGAAGCGCATCACTTCATCACTCAAGTTGCGGAAGCTCGAGCTGAGGAAGCTCGATGAAGGCCCTCGTGCCAACTTCACCAAGATGCACATCCCGATGCCAAAGCTTCCCATGGAGAAGCAGCCGCTCACGCAGAACTGGCGCATGTGAGGAATGTGAGGAATGTGAGGAATGTGAGGAATGTGAGGAATGTGGAATGCAATGAACGCACTGAATGCAATGAATGCATGCGATGCACCTCGCTCAGGATTCTGGCCAGTGGATTTGGATAGCGCCTCTTGAGACGCTCGGCCTTCCGAGAGAGGGATCAATGCAGGCTGTTTCCGCGAGAACAGCGGGGACAGCCCCAGACTTGGCAAATGCGAAGGCAGCCATAAATCATGGAGCCATCGCCGCGTGGGCCTAGCCTTTTGCAACTTTCAATCTCGGCATAAGTTGGGCTTTGGAATCAAATTGTCGGTCCCAGCTTCGAGAGATGAGTTGTGACTTCAGTTTCACTGCTGCCAGAAAAGAGCAGCGAACTGGCGAGGGATGGTCTGCAAAGTTGGGAAGTTGGGAAGTCATGGTTTGCAGGAACTACCTTCAGGCGCTGGAGCAGATCAACAAGCACCTGGAGTGCCTCTTGAGACGGTCCGCTTGAGCTGCCCGACCCCGCAGCTTTCCGATCTTTGGCTCGTATTGCGTGACTCGCAACAAATCTGCAGACTCAGAAATCGCCCAGCATGCCACATGTTACAAGCCGGCCCAAACTCCCTGGCCCAAACCGGAGTTGGACCGAGCGTGTGACGGATGTTGGTCAGGACGGGGAGGCGTAAGGCGTCCCGAGGCGTCCGCAATTTGCAGCGTTTGCCAGTCGCAGGCTGCTGGAGGACGCCATCCGCACAGGGGATAGCCAGGCGCTCCGCGGACTTCAATTTTGTGCAAATTTGAAGCAAGAGGCATCTGAGAGTTTGACGTTCCTTTCTTTGAGGGTAACCGAGTGCCGGTTGCAGAGCAGTCCTGTCGCCGATGCCCGGCATTGACGCAGATAAATTAACAGAGTTTTTGTGTCCGAGACAAAAGGATCAGTTTGATGAAAACGGTGAGGCTGCGGCGCAGCTGGCGCGGCAGCTGGCTGGAGGCAACTCCGTTGCGCGTTTCGGAGAGATGCGTTTCGACTGAGCCGAGTTGGGTTCCGAGACCGAAATGTACGGAGATGAAAGGGGAGTTAGAGAGTTGCAACTTGTGAGGAGTCCACGAAATCCGGATAAACCTGGACAAAGCCGCGGCAGTTGGCGTCTAACAGTGGCTAAGAGTTGAGCAAGAGCTGAGCAACCATGCGCACTGAGGCTGCCATGCTACGGAAGCAGCTCCAGGCAAGTACCAACATAGCGATTCCGATGCGCCAAGAGCTTCCATCACTTGTGCTTAGGTGCAGTTCATTAACGCCGGGTACCCTCCAGCCAGGGTGGCGCAGGCTCACACCCGGGCCCGAGAACGTGCGAGATGGACCCAAACCCGAGGCTTTGCGACGGGAGCACAGCCCGGCCGAGGACGGACGCGAACGGTTCGGGAAGAGCAGTGGATCTGAGTCAGGTACGCGCTTGGCTGGATCGCGAGAGCGGTTGAAAACAGCGCGCAAAGGCAGTGCTTGCGGCTTGCAGTGCTTGGCCTGTCGCATTCGCATGCATTGTGCAGTCAGAGGTACTGGCCAGACCACATGATAAACCGCTGCAAGCAGAGGCTAACCAAGATGCGGCAGATGCTGATCAGGCAAGGCCACCAGTTGCATTCGCGGTGCCGTGCGGCCCAGTCAGGATGCGCAAGCTGGCGTTGAAGGGTGGTCCAAAGCCCGGCGCCAGGTGGACCCTTCCCTTTTTCCCTTTTTCCC